CCCATTCTTCTGCATTCAATCTGACTCATTGTGTTCCCAGAGTGACTGAATAAAGCTAGGATTATAATTTAGCCCTCAAGGAGACATGTAAATCACAGTGTCGACGAGAAAGAGAACTACAAATGTCATCCATTGTAATTCCTTCAGCCTGCTTGCGCATTTTAAAGCCGATCGCTGTTTGAGATCCGACTGGTTCTGCTCAAAATGTCTCGCTTCTTACTCTGCCCAACTCTTCAGCTTCGGGTAAATTCAACTTTCAGAACTTGATTTCTATTTTGATAAAAGTTTAAAACCGTTTATATTTGTTGTGTGTATTTCTTTTTGATTTGATTATTTCTGTTTTTTTCTTACTGTTCCAGTCAGACTTTCAAGAAAAGAGCATCCGAAGAACAAAGTCGTTGTTGTTGTGAGTGATCCATATCTTTAATTTTTTTTGTATCTTACCTTCTCAATCTGTAAAGTTGTATCGTGGTTAAATTTCCATGGAAAAACAGGTTGGAGATATAGTTGGAGACAAGCAGAAGAATAATTAAGAATGTATAGATACATAACCCAAGGAGTTTCAGGTCTGTGTTGGTTTTAAGCATGTTTCCCATTTTTTTCTAATCTAATTTTCATCTCAAAATAACATTGTGCTCTTTTAATTGCATGACATCATAGCTGAAGTTAGCCTCATAAGAAAAACTTTCAATTGCAGACAATTATGCAAGGAAACAATAGTCTCTCAGTGTGTTTGACGGAAAAGCTAGCCCACTGCACCACTAGACATTGGAACAGGGCCTGTTCAACAGGCTGGTGTGAATCCTAAGATCGTTCTTACCACATGCATAAATCTAAGAGGTATATCTCTTCTGTTGCACATGGTTAAGAGCTTTGGTTCTTTTAGTCATTGGTGGGTCTGAGTTTTTGTTTAGCTTCTACTGGATAAGAGTTTGTCGAATGCAGTTTATGTATTGAATATTACAAACTGTGGATTTTGATTGAAAAATATGGATCCAGATTTCTTGACAATCACATATTCTTATGGCGAGGTGGAAAAATGCGGGTATATTCGTTTCAAGGAGCAATAATTGGTGGATCTAAGTAAACTATTGGTCGTTAGCTTCTTTCTTTTTTTCCTAAAAACAGTCTGTTCACCGGCCAGTTTCTATTTAGTTCCATGGCCAACCTTGGATTGTTACTGCAGAGGTGGTTACTTTCAAGAAGGAGCAAAAGTGAGAATGAAGATGACGAGAATATGCGTATAAATATAAGATTAAATCATTTTCTGTTTATCTCTTTTGCTATATTCCCTTGCTTCCTTATTAAGTACAATAACTGTTGTGTAGCCAGGGGATACCATTGCTCCTAATGGAGTGAGTTTAGTGCTATGGAAATGCAAGCGTAATCTAAACGTAAAAAGAGAGCTCATCTTGAGTCTAAAGGTAATTATGCATTTCTTATCTTTACATGTCTACTAGATTTTTGATTTCCATCCCCTTACAGATTAGGCAGAGCGAATGTTATATGTGGCTTTAGTGGCTGACAGTCCAATCTGTCTTTTATGGTTATTTTCCTATCAGCTGAAATATATTTAAATTTATCTTCATTCTTTCATGTTCTTCAGATTTTTCAGGATTTATAATATATACATACACATATATGTATATTAAGAAACAATGACAAGAGACATTGCAATAATGTTGCTCTTAGGATGTTGCTTTTAAAATGGTTTTCCTATTGATTCTGTGAAAAAAGGATGTAAGGAGGAGAGGAGTGTTAATCGCAATGAAATGCCAGAAAAGAGGGATAACCCAATTAAGAATTTAAAAGTTTGTAGAAAAGAGGATGACAATGGTGGGAAATTTCATCATGAGAGGTTGATGGAAAAAGCTAGCCCACTGCTCCACTAGACATTGGAACAGGCTTCGTGTGGATCCTAAGATCATTCTTGCCACATGCATAAATCCAAGAGGTATATCCCTTCTGCTGCACATGTGCGATCTACAAACTGTTCATCTGAACATCTTAAGGATCTAAGTAGACTCTGCTTGCAGATCACCTATTCATTAATGCAACCTATGTGTCTAATTTTTACTTTGACAATCAAAATGGTGGCGGTCGAGCTTCTTCTATGAGTCAGAACCTACAGCGATAAGATGCCCTTATTACTTGCCCAAATTTTTTTAAACATCTTACGTTATTTCCACTGCAGGTTGCATGAGAGTGACGTCAATTGGTCCTCAAGTTCAGAAAAGTATGCAAGTGTCCAGAAAATACAACTATGGATGTATCCAGAGAATATAACATGTAATGGTTTCAGAGCTAAACGCCTATGTCCTTACATACCAAAACCTACCTTTCCTGATGTATTAACCTGAAAAAATCTCTCATTATCACATTCTTGACCTCATGTTTTACAAATTACTAAGTTTCTGTGCATCGGCAAAGTTGCAGGCATTAAAACCACAAACGAGTGATGTAACATATAAATGTTGAGTCAAAGAATGAACAAGCTCACAAAACTCTTTTTAAGTACAAATTGAAAAGCAGTAAGGTCCTCTGTTGTAGCTTTTACTTTGGTGCAGTAATAATTTATTGCTATGTTAAGATTATTCTCAAACTACCAACAAAATCATAAATCCAAATGCAGCTTAGTTTGTACACCGATACTCAGAAACTTATATATAAACTTTCTTCTAAAACAGCTTTAATCACTTCATGTAAGTTTTATGGAGGGTTTATAGACATGAACAACTCAGAAGCCGCATGAGCCCCTGCCATATGGTGGTTTAGTCTGGGGATTGTCAACCACTTCCTCTCACTTAGATTGGGTTCGAAGGTAAAGATGTGGGAACACTGAACGGCAGTAAAAGCACGATCTAGGCATGTTTAATATGGTTTGGTTGAAAACACTGAACTGAAGTAAAACCACGATCTAAACTGAAAACATTGTTTTGTTCTAAGAGAAAAACTTCAGTCACATATCCTGATTAGTGCAATGTCATGTGACATCACATCTAAAATCAATAATATTAAAACTAGATCATGACCAATTGATATATGTGTAGTCAAACAAAATATTAAAACAAATACCACGTTTGAATATAACTACTACTTTCATATAAAACTATTCCTAATACTTTCTAATAATCCGCAGCCACTAATTAAACAAAAAAAGTTAAATAAATTATCCAAAAACAATACCAACATAGATTCATCGTATTTTGAATTCTCATTTGGATTTTATTACTCATGAAATCAAATATCCACATTTTTTGCCATTTATATTCATTTACTCATGTATTATTTAAAAAATACATAAATGTAATTACAAATAAAAACATAAATATGACTACAAAAAGAGATATAATATAAAAAAAATAACTTTCTACAAAAATATATCAAACACAAATAAAACCCATCCTCTAAAAGGGCGGGTCAGTATCTAGTATAAATTAAAACAACAACACAATTTTTTTGTACTTTGGTAAAAAAAAAAGTTTTGATCAACATCCAACTTTGAGAAAAAAATACGATCATGATCGTTGTTTAAAATTGATTACATATATATTATAGATAGTGAAAATACATCAAAACAAATGTAGAACGAAATGGGACAAGAAAATTGAAAAGACAAATGTTCTAACATCGTGTTCTAACATCTGTGAAAGTTATGAATTCAATAGTTCTAAAACTAAAAAAAAATTAGTACATTTAATAATATTTTATATAAAACTTATATAAGATAAAAGAATATTTTGATCGTGGGTCTGATTAGTTTGGTTATAATGCAGAAAATTTATTGTAAAAATTTAGTTTGTTGCTTTTATCGATGTAGTTCTAAGTTTCGCTGGTTTTAAGAAGGGAAATTGTTAAAACTACCACATTCGTGATACACTATTTCACTTTTACATTAATCATCTTTACCCTCAAAAATTTAATATATAAAATACTATTTTATCCCTCAATTCATTTGTCAAACCTAGATCTATTTTTCTCCAAATCTCGTGATGATGGGGCCGATTGGTTATGGCTGTAGCTTTACAATTTTAGCTGTAGAAAAAAATGCTATAGTTTTTTTCTGTAACTTTAGATTTTATTTCTGTAGATTATATGGAAAACTCAGAAAAATTGCTTTGAATATTTGGCTGTAGAAAGCACTTGTACATCTGTAGATTATTTTAAGAGCTGTAATTTTTACAAAATCAATAAAACTTGATTGCCGTGAATTTAGTGCTTTAGAAAATATCCTTAGAAATATATGGTGCTCTAGAGAGCACCTACAGCCGTTACCAATCACACTCGATATCACCGGCTATCTCCGGCAACTCCGGCGAACTCGAACTTGTCGATTCGAACTCGAACTCGTAAAGAACAGTCGACCCCTCGGTGACATCGCAAACTTCGTCTCTGTTCCCGTAGTCCATGAAGATATGAAATCGAGCAAACGGTGTTTGAGACGAGAGAGATCGATGTGGAGTACGAGTTTGACGCGGCTAGATGGTTCGATTTCACTAGGATGGAGTCACCAGCGGAGTCTCAATCCGCCGAGTTCTGGTTTCACTCTGCTCCCTCCTACGCTCCCTCTCGTAAGTATATCATCATCATCATACGATTGCAGCTTAGTTAAGAGAGAGTGCTTAGTCTAAACTTCCTTCTATTGATTTCGGCTGTTGAAAAAATCAGACACTGTCCGTTGCACAAGCGGTTTAAAATCCCTGAATCGTTTCGGAAAAACTGATTTAAAATGTGATCACTCATATTTGATTTGGTTGCTGATTCTGTTTTTGAGGTCTTACTTTTGCCAATTTGTTCTATATTTCTCCGAATCATGCTATGCAAGAATTTGCTGCTAATTATTTGTGTATTTCAGCTTTCGTCACAAAATTGTTACTTAGTGAGGAGGAGGAGGAGGTTTCTGATGACAAAACCGAGGCAGTGTCCACGAAACTAGAAGCGAGAGATATTTTTGAAAAGGATAGAGAGATGTATCAACCTCCATATCTGAATAAGACAGGTGAATTATCTGATGTACCTCCATCTCTTTAATTAGTTGATTATGATGTGTGTAGAAAGTTGGAAGACCACTAGATATGTTTATAGATTTCTTACAATGTCTTTCTTTTTCTTCATGAATTGGAATGGGTTTTGGGATGTTTTCCTCACAACAAGGTAATAACTTGAAGAAAGTCCTAAGTCAACCCATATGCAAAGGTGATAACCTTTTTTTTCTTTTTTCTTTTTTTTGCTATAATAGTATCATCATGAGCGTGGATGTATTTCAATTGTTGATTATGCTTTAACACAACTATCTTGAAAATTAGTTATAACTTTTGATCAGCTCTTTTTTTTTTAGTAACTTTGCATGTGGTCCATCTTTGGTATTTAATTTATTGTCTGTGGTGGTCTCACTTTCTCTACTTTTACCAGGGCCAACGGTTAGTATTCACAACCACATTGATAAACCAATATTCCGAGCTAAGTCTAGCATCAGACCAACTCCAAGGAGCTCGACGTTAATGAAACCTACTGCTAGTCAGCTGTAAATCTTCTGTCATTTTAATTTCATTCACCTAACACGCAGATGTTGGAAAAAAACTGATTCTCTTGCATAAGATTTTGTGATTATCTCTGATCTCTCTTTTCCTCTGCAGGTACTGGTTATCAGTTGGAGCTCAACCAACAGACTCAGTCGAGAACATGCTCTTCAGGGCCGGTTTGATTCCTCCAAAGCCTATGGTTGTAGTAGGTTCCAAGAACGGACAGCAATCCACCAACCACCATGTTTCACCCATTACAGGTGAGATCTTGAACTAGGAGTGCAGCAATGAGCTAAGCTTTTGTGTCTATGTTAAAGGTGTTTGATGTTATGTTTTTTCTTTTGTTGTATCTTCTGGATTAAGAAGTTTGGTGAATTTTCAATTATGGGTTTGTAGCATACTATGACTGATTGAGCTTCGGTAATATAAGCCCATATTTTTCTTTAGTTAGATCAAGCTGTCCTTCACGAGCTTTTTATGCTCACAACTTTGCCATTTTCAAGATGTATACTTATAGGTACCGTTCTCTGCGATCATCGTTATACTTTAACGTTGATATATGTGCTACGTTTCCTATCATACAAAGTTTTTAGTTTATCTGGCGTATTCGTTCTTCAGGTGTAGCAAACGCAATAGATCTCGCATATCGTTTTCTTCCAAAATTGAAGTCTCTTAATTGTAAGTATTTCAATCAAAAGCCCTGGAGCTTTGTGCCAGAGTAAGAATACATATGCCATTTTCACTCACTGTCGAGTCAACCTTCTTTTTCCTTTTGACATTTTATATTGACGTTCTATATTTTTGCGTTGTGCCAGAAAGTATCAGCTGCATCAGGAGACATGAGAAAGGCTTTATCTGTCTGCAGGTGAATACTCTTCTGAAAGTTTAGTCTCTGAAGTTGCATAAGATGAATGAGAGTACTATCCTTTATATTCTGTATTTGTCTACTCTTGAAATGATCACACTGAATTTGATAATCCCAAATTTTGTTTTTATATTGATTGGATATTCAGGAGTGCCTTAGAAATCTTAGAAACAGAAGTTAAAGGAACAGCAGATCAGGAACCACAAACTTCAGTTTCAGAGGATCAAGTGGTAAGTATTTTCACTCCCTGCTTTGCTCTACTAACGATGTAAAATATGAAGGATGCTTAGAGTATGTGGTCTTCTAACATAATTGTTATCATCTACAACTCTACAGGTAAAGATGGATCATATGGTAACTGCATTGGCCAAGACCTTTAAATCTCCAGTAGTTGACACCATTCAGTCTCTTCCTCAACACTTTTATAAAGGGACTTGAGGAAGAGACTGAATGGTGTCAACTACTGGAGATTTAACTGAGTACGCAAAGTTTCTGTCTTTTAACTCCTCCAGAGCAGACAAAGTTGTGCTCTCTTCTTCAGGCTTTTAAACTGATGTGAAAGCTTTGTAGAAAGTTCTCAAATCAAGGCACTTGGTGAGAGATTTCGTTTGACAAAAGTTTACGGCAATAATTGCTTTATATATAGATCACCGTTGAAAAGTTAATTCCTGAATTGTGTGTTGGTTATTTCATTTGCAGGATTGAACGCATACTTGTGAAGGAGAGACAGTGTATGAAAACATGTTTGCTTGAAATTAATGATGTTTCATCCTCAAGCATGAGAACTTCTACCCTCTGTAGTATTGGTTGAATTTACGTAGGTGCTCTAAACTACTACTGTGTGTTTGTTTCCTGAAATCTTGAGACTTCCGTAGTTGTCTATGTGCAAGGATTATTGTGCTTGATATTCTACATCTTTAATAGACTGTGGTCTAGTTGAATCTTCTTTGTTTCCCGTTCCAAGATCTGTAGCTATAGTGCTAGTTTCTCGGTGCTTTTGAAATTTAGACTCTCTATTATTATATCACTGAAGAGTTTTGCTACCATTTTAATATCCTCATTTATAAAAAGTTTATAGATTTAATAAATTTTTTTATAAGCCTTTATAAATAGGATGGACTTACAAATAATTTTACATATCTTTATAAATTGTTTTATAAACCTTTATAAAGTTGTATAATCTTTATAAATTGTTTTTATAAACATTTATAAATTATTTACATATCCTTATAAATCCTTATAAATTATCATACAACCCATTATTTAAGTGTTATTATAAGCTTTTCTTTGTTACGACATCCTTCAAGAGACCGGCGGCTCTGCATAAAAGAAAAAAAACATTATTTATAATCTTTCATAAATTTCTTATAAATATTTATAAATGGTTTATAGATTCAATAACTTGTTTTATAAGCCTTTATAAATGGTATGGACTTACAAATAATTTTATATATTTTTATAAATTGTTTTATAAGCCTTTATAAAGGTATATAATCTTTATAAATTGTTTTTCTAAACATTTATACATTATTTACATACCTTTATAAACCGTTATTTTTATTCTTATATATGTTTTACAAACGCTAATAAATGAATTAAACGCCTTTATAAAATGTTTAACTTTATAATCGAATTACGTTTAGAATTTACAAGTCCTTATAAATGATTTTATAAACCCTAAATGATTTCTAAGCCCTTATAAATAATATTATATATTCTTATAAATGATTTATAGATTATAATAAAAAAAAATTCTATATATTATTATAAATTATAAACTCTTAAAAATAGTTTAGAATTTAGACAATGTCTTTTACAAATCCTTGCAAATGATTTATAAATATTAATGGTTCATAAAAAGTTTTATAAACTATATATTAAAAATGGTGTATATACAAAACTATTGTATATATTCATATGATTTATAAACCCTTATAAAATATCTAGACAAGCTTGTATGTGTTTTGTGTAAAATCCTTTATAAGTTAATTTAGAAACCCTTATTAGTTAATATATAAACCCTTATAAATTACTTTTATAAACCTTTATGAGTTAATTTATAAAACCTTATAAATGACTTTATAATTCCTTATAGATGATTTTATAATGGTTTATAAATCTCTTATAAATCCTTAAATCCAAGTTTAGTTACCAATCTTCCGGTTTGGGTAGGTGAGTTACAAGGACACCTAGCTCGAATCAGTCAATTGTCGCTCGAACATACTCTACCCTCTTGTAACCAAGCGGCTTTAGCAATAGCAAACAATGTGACTCAAGACCTTAGAGTTCAATCCTACGTTGCTACAAATGCTACTCTTTGGCTTCGTCCTCAGTGAAATACGTGATATATATTAGCTTGTAACTGTCGCTGTTATGTGCGTTTGTTACTTAAATGTTGGCTTTTAATTATAAGATTCGTGGGTTCATTTATATTTTACCAATAAAAGCAAGCAAGCATATACACACATATTGATTGGGATATGAAGAGTGAGTGATAAATTTAGCCTTTGATCCGTAAAAATTCTTACATAACAGTAACTTTGATGTCGGTATAAAGGTTAGTTTGAGAGAGATTCATCTTGATTCCAAGTAAGCTATTCGGATAGAAGGTACCGAGCTTATTCATCGTATCCTCTTACAGTTAGTATATTCTCCTATGGAGCTTGTTCCTACATCAAAGTTATTGTTGATTGATTTATATATAATGGTCTATAAGTTTGATTTATAAGAGTTTATATATAATGGTCTATAAGTTTGATTTATAAGAGTTTATAAATTGATTTAAAAGGGTTTATAAACTAATTATAGGATTTATAAGGTTATTTATTAATTTTAATAAATTAACTTTTGATTTATAAGAATTATAAAGTGACTATAAAGGTTTATAAATGACTTAAACAATGATTAAAAGTTTGAATTTGTATATCTAAATTCACACTCTCCAAAGACGAAGTTTCTCTTCATTGGTTCATGGTAAGTCAAACTCCATAAGCTTTTCCTTGTTACGATATCCTTCAGGAGACCGACTCTGCATATTTATAAGCTTTCATAACTTTCTTATATAAATGGTTTATAGATTTAATAACTTGTTTTATAAGCCTTTATAAATGGTATAGACTTACAAATAATTTTACATATCTTTATAAATTTTTTTATAAACCTTTATAAAGGTATATAATCTTTATAAATTGCTTTTATAAAATTTATAAATTATTTACATACCTTTATAAACCGTTATAAATTTATCATACAACCCATTATTTAGGTGTCATTATAAGTTTTTCCTTGTTACGGCATCCTTCTAGAGACCGGCTCTGCATAAAAGAAAAACATACATTATTTATAAGCTTTCATAATTTGGAGCTAGATTCTGCATACAAGTCCAAACTCTGCTGGGAGCTAGATTCAAGTGATTTACAAAGCTTTATAAATTAGTTTATAAATATGTATAATTAACTTATAGACTCATGTAGAAGTTTTATAAAGTATTATAAATCAGTTTATCAACCCTTATGAATCAATTTATACACTCTTGTAAATCAAATATAATCTCTCATAAATTAAGTAGATAAAATTTAGGACTCTATTCTAATAGAGTAGATAAAATGAACTGTAAAAGAATGATGTTCTTAAATAAGCAAAGAAATGGTGGAAAGTTGGTTAATTTGGTGATTTATAAACTCTTATAAATAGATTTATAAACCTTGTAAATTATTTATAAACATTTATGAATAAATGTATAAACTCTTAGAAATAGCATATATGTTCTTGCAAATAGTTTTATACACCCTTTTAAATAGTTTTATAAACCTTTATAAATAGTTATATAGATATTTATGTGTTTTATAAACTTTATAGATGGTTGACACAAGGTTTTATAAGCTCTTACAAAATTTACAAATGGTTTTGTAAACCTTTATAAATAATTATATAAATATTTTAAGCATGAAAGTTCCATGCACACTTTAAGCATGAAAGTTTTAAGTAGAGAGGACTTCATGGAGAAACTTCTAGTTGACATTATTAACCAAAATAATCTGATACTGAAAGTCTGAGCCTTTTTTCTAGAAGCTACAATCACTACTTTTCTCTACTTATTACGCTTCACAACACGTCTTCCTTGACCCTTCTTTGGTAGTCCTTTGTCACGACGCTTCAACATCACAAGCTTTGATAAGCGCCTATAAACAACATACAAGTGTAGAGCAGAGCAGAGTAGAACAGAGGTGTCATGATCTGTCAGTTTTTCCTTCCTTCCGACAAGATGATGTGGTATCCGTGCCTGCAATCACATCATAATCACATTCATCATCTACTAAACAAAGCCAGCAAAAAGCTCAGAATGAGACTGAAAAAAAGAAGAGAGAGGATGTTAGTAGTCATACGTGGACTTGAAAGGTGCACTAGTGACACCAACAGGTGTGTTGAAAGCAACATCTTGGAATGGACCAGCCATCTTTCCTCTAGAGAACCATCCAAGATCTCCTCCTTTTTTCCCTGATGGGCACTCCGAGTACTCTGCTTCAACCTGAGATAGTCCTTCCACGCACAAAAAAAACATATGTTTTGAGATTCCCAACCATACATTTACACACACATGACACAAGTATGCACATTTAGGTACCCGAAAACTGAAACTCGCAGGTCTCTACTCTAAGCATCAATGAACTATGGAGGTGTTGAAATGATACTTGCACTATATCTCAGATCGGATGTTTCAGTTCAACAAACAAAGAAAAGAAGCAAATTCGGAACTTTCACCTTTGCAAATTCAGCAGGAGGAACCTTGTCTCCATTACTCAACCAACCATCCTGCAACTTTTTGTATGCCTCATTGATCTTTCCTTGCTTTTCACCTCATCAGAGTTTATATATTTAAGTGACAGACATACCAGAAAATGATATATGAAATGGAATTCCAAGTATCATTTTTATTAGCATTATGAAAAAACAAGAGGATATCGTTGATACATGTTGAAAATAATAATAAAAGAGTGATAGTTTTACTCAAGTTTTGCTTCTCTCTTTGGAGGTTCCAAGTCGAGATATGTGAATGGCTCTGTTGGTTCCTCTCTGAAAAAACAAGATGAACGTCTCAGGCACTTATACACAAGTACGATTAAGAATGAATAAACGGCTTCTAATACTTAATGAATCAGAAAGACGAGAAACTGGTTGTAGCAAGTAGTGTAAAGCAGAGAACAATAGCTGGTGAAGAAAGTTTCAAAGTGCTTTGCCTGACCAACATCTGTACCTAGACCAGGTAGATCTTTTTCATCAGGAGACAATCTCATCCAACAATATGCAAGTTTTAGATTAACCCACTTAGTCAAAAAAAAAAAAAAAAAAACTCACCAAAGGGCAGCCATATCTGTTGTAGCATAGGTGTAAGCACCATCACTCTTTACAAGCATGAGTGTGTTAGAGTCTTTCTTTTTGTTAACCACAGGAGCTCCCTCACTATCTTCAACTAAAATCTTGTTATTGACCACAGGAGCTTCTTCACTGTCTTTAACCAACCCCTTGGTTTTAATCACACGAGCTCCCTTACTCTCTTCAACCAACCCTTTGTCACTCAATTCCTCAATCATGCTAGGTATATAAGGTTTGTAAAAGCTTTCTCCCTGTCATCAACCATATATCATTTTTTCCATTTTCAATCCTTCTGCCTCAGACAATATTAGTATGTAAGATGAGCTATGTCTTTACCTTTTCTTCAAGCTCAATCTGAAGGCGTTGATAAACCGTGGCACATTCGGTTCGACTGGTTTCACAAATCTTAGCCCACGTTTTGCAGTAAACAGGATCTCCACCCTTAACAAGAAAAAAAGGAGACAAGTGAGTAGGTTTATTACTTGCAAACCAAGGAACCTGAATATTGAGACACTTCCTAAATAGAACTAGTTATCTACCTGTATACGGACCACGGCTAGTTGTGCCTTTTTCTTAAAGACTGGATCCACATCAAAATTTTTTTTTGATTCTTTGTAACAGGACTGTATCATATAAAAATCTGAAGTTAGAAAGTGAACTGCTTCTGGTTTTCATACAAAGCGTTACTATGTCAATTGTAAAAAGCAGCTCATCTGTAGATCATCAATGGATATCTCACCCGCAAGATCAGTATCAGGGAACTTCTCAAAGAGGTACTCAATTAACATTCCAAACTGCACAATAAGCGTAGACTTTTTAGTCTCCTATAAAAACACTATGTTTTCAACGTTAAAGAAACTATTAGGAAGAGTGTACCTTTGTTCCCCAGTCACCAACATGGTTTCTACGTAGAACTTCAACATAGACAGATATCCTCAGAGTAGAATGTATACAACAAACTAAGCATGTTATAAATATCAAAGCAGCCAAAGGAACAAAACAGACAAAAGCTGAGTTATGATGTATACAACAAACTAAGCATGAATCTCCAGTCACGCTGTGAAGGTAGAGACCATTAAGGGAATGAGACTTTGAGCTCTCCACGCGCTAAGTATGCTCCACACGTCCACCCACACGACCCTCTCCTTTCGAATCCAAGCAATCCAAGCACCAATTCAGATCTACGAGAAAGAGGAACACAGACACATACACAAATAGAAAGAACAAATCCGAAAAATACTTGAATCGAACAAAAAATACACAAATTCGAAACATACCAGTGTGAATTGTGGAGAGGAGCCAACGTCTTTGAGGTTTGGAATCGCGATTCTCGTAATCTCTTGTCGCCGGCTGCGTGAGAGAGAGTGACGATGGATCTGGTCGGAGACGACGACAGATCTCGATGAAAACGACACATGACAACGACGACGGCGAGGTTTGACGAAGACAACGAGAAAAAAGAAATCAGAAATAAATTAAAAAGGTTATTTTAGTCATTTGACTACTGATGATTAAGGTATTTATGAAAATGTCTTTCTAACAAAGGTAAAAATGAAAAGTGGTACAATGAATGTGGTAAAATTGAAATTTTCCCTTTTAAAAATATATAATAAAACATAACAAAAATAGTATTGTTGATTTAATTGGGAGGGGGTAGAGAAGAGTCCAATAAATTGGTTTTTATAAATGAACATAAACATTTCTACGGTCCAACCAATCTAACTTATTTTCTGTTCATTTTGCTCATTATTTATATATAATTTGAGAAATTGCTAAAATTATCACAGGTTAAATACTACTTTTATCAATCATTAATATATTAAGATTTGAATTTAAACTTTAGTGATTAGTGTTTAAGATTAAGTACAGTATTAAGGGATTGGAGTTAGATTTATAAATGTTTAATAAATATGTACAAAGAATTGAAAATTTCCCATATGATTTTTAATAACAAAAAAATTACAAATTTAATTTTGTAAGACAACATGGATTTTAATAATAGCTTATAATGTTTTTTTCTTAACTCTTAGTTTGTATTGCAGAAACAACAATAAGAAAAACCAAATTGACGTGAAACAGAACCAGACAAACGAGAACATAAAACAGAGCCTGGGACTCATCTATGTAACATTGCACGTAATCCACCAACTTCATTACTTCGAAAATCATTCATTGCCCTACTTAGACCACACTCCTGTCCGCAGCTAGAACATTTCTTAACCAAAAAGGCCCTTCTTGAGAAACATAAGACTGCCTTCTCTGCTCCCTCGTCACGCTTCTCGCAATCATGAAGGTGACTTTATTCCTTCCTCTTGGGACATCTTGTAGCTCCCAACCACTTACATTCTTCAAGATACTATGTAATTCATTCCCATATGCTCTAAAAGCCGGCCATTCCTTTGGTCTATTAACCACGCCCACCAAGTCAGAAGCCTCCACTTCCAGACACACATTCTGAATTTTATGAGAGATCATGCTTTCAGTTGCCCATACCAGTCCGATCCGTTTAGCTTCTAAGATAGATGTGATCCCACTAAAAGCTCTTCTGCTATGTAACAAGGCTTGCCCTCTATCATCCCTCACAATCCAAGAGCAGCCTGCAACACTGTTACCTTTTGACCACGCCACTCCCACATTACATTTAAACTTCCCCAGAGAAGGAGGGCACCAACGACGCCCAAGATTTCTCGACTCCTGCCTTCCTTCGAGTGAGCTGTCCTTAGCCTCAACCACGTCGAACCAATGTCTACAGTCTTCCTTAATCTTGTTCACCGTATCCTCTAACTCATAAAATTTCCCTTCAAAAATAAAAGCATTTTTATTCTTCCAAAGAGTCCAGAGAACCCATGGGAAAAGTCTTGAAATCTCTTCAGAAACATCCTTCCTCTCTGAGATACTTAATCGGTAGTCAAAATTCTCCAGTAATGACCTATTTTCAAAACCTCGTTGCGGAAAAGGGTAGACACTCTGTGCCTATACTATACGAGCACTATGACAAGAGAACAACACATGATTAATGGACTCAGAGTCAGCACCACATCGTTGACATCTCGGGTCTACTTTCATACCTCTCCGAATCAGCTCCTCAGTGACATACAAGGCATTGGATAAAGCCTTCCAAAGAAATATCCTGATTTTCGGTAAAATTTTCACCTTCCACACTTTACTCCTCAGATCATTAATAGAAGGTTTTGCAGTTGCTTCCTGCCTAACACTTGACTGATCCAACACACAAGCTAACCAATAGCTTATAATGTTTATATAGTAAAATATACATAAAAATATATAATCAAGATCCTCCTATATATTAAAAGAGAAGTCACTTTGACACGTGTCACTCACACATCCATTCTCAGAAGAATTCTAGCGATTCTATTGGTTGATTTTTTAGAATTTATTTTTTGATTTATTTTTGGTTCGGCATGCAAATGGTTAGAGAATCGTATCTCAAAATTAATGTTAGGTTATTTACTTGCCTTACATTATATTTGATAACTTGCGAAAGAAGTTGGAAATTAAATGCCAAATCAAAAGTTGGAAATTACATTATATTTTCGAGAACTTAGGAAAGAAATTAATGTTAGGTTATTTACTTGCCTTACATTATATTTGAAGACTTGCGAAAGA